GCCAAAGCAACCTTTCATTACTGTTTGCATAGGAGGCTCTTTAATCATTAAAGCAAATGACTTGGAATTTTTAGTTCAAAATTTGAATTGAAGCTATTGTATTATAGACCTAGGGAGCAGTGAGTTTGCAGTATCAAGCTTCTTTTCTAGGATTCTTGTACTTTCTTCCTTCTTGTGTTCACTGCTCTCATGCTGTCTGCTTTGAAATCCCACCAGAGCTTATCCTTTCCGAAAAGTACTGTACTTCTAGTGCCAAAATGATTCCTTATCACCATTAACCCCTCACCCCCATTCCCCAATGTCAGCAAGCAGGAGTGATGGGGTTACAGACAAAGCTGAAAAGATCTCTACAAAGCATCTCACCTTGTTTTATTGATAGGGACACTGAGTCCTAGAGTGGCACAGTCACTTGCCCAAGGTTGCTGGCAGAACTAAAATTTAAATACCCCAAGGAATGGTTTAACTTACATGATTTTGCTCCCTCCCCTATGAAAAAGAAATAAAGATATTTAATCAGGTTATTATGAGGATCAAATATGACAAAAGAAGTAAAAACGTTTTGAAAATTTCAATTTGATACAAGTACCTTTAAATTTTATTTTTTTTCATGAAGCCATCTGCTTTCCTTATGCTAGATGTTAACAACTAGGAAATGTTGACAGGTGATTCTTCCATGTGAGATTTGAGTTTGGAAAGAGGTCTTCGGGACCCATTGAGCAATGAAGGGAAAAAGCTAGAGAAGTATTAGAGCTGCCTCTCGAATTACTCCAGATGTGGCAAACTCAGCAGTGGACAGACATGTTATCTCAGTAAGAGTACAACATATTTTGAGAGGACAGGGAGCTAAGAATTTTGTAAGGAGCTGGAAAAACTGCCCATGCACCACACAGTTCATGCATCCAGGGTGGGGTTGAAAAAAAGTAATTTAAAAATCCCTTTTGACACTGAAGTTCTGTAATTGTGTGATTGCAATTGGTTCATTTTTACAACATACACTCCCATTCCTTTTCTCTCTCTTCAGACCTAGAAACACTGACATCTATTAATATATTACAAATTGCTTAACTGATCTTAAGAATGAAAAACAGAAAGGAAAAAGAATCCAACACATATCAGCACAAGCACGCACAGGACAATTCAACAAGTTGGGGTTTGTTTTCAGTTGAACTGAATATGAAAAACAAAAAAAGAACCATAATTTATAGCCTTCAAATTACCAAACTTAATGGAATATTATTAATACTAGTGGAATAAATATTTAATGATATTCAGTGAGGGAGAAGATCTCAGTTTTAGTTTCTTTATTTAGATGAATCTGAAGTCCAAACCAATCATTCTAATTGGCTACCTTGAGCAGGGATGTAGCTCAGTGGTAAAACACACACCTACTGGGCATGTATGAAGCTCTGGCTTGATTCCCAGCACCCCCAGAACCCACCAATTAGCTGCTTTGATATTTATGTGTCAGTGTGGACAGAAATGGCATCATCATACCCTATATGGGAACACCTGATGGAGGGATCAAAACACAAAAATGTATTGCATGTTTTGGGCCTGGGAATAACAAAATCTAAATCTTACCCATTTTATGCCCCCAGCACTTCACACATAGTGGATGTGCTTGGCATTTGTCCAATGAATGAATAAAATATGTCAGTGTGTTGTAGGTCAGGTATAGGAGGATAGGGAGAAAGTTGTTCTAGACTGTATAAAGAGCACGGTAGCACCTGAGACCATCGCTCATTTGAGAAACAACAGGAAGTTCAATTTTCCTGATGTCAAGGATGCTCTGTCATGGAGGGGGAATAGCTAAAAATGAGGCTGTCTACCCATCCTCAGTGGAGGAAAGATAGCCTCTTTAATAAATGGTGTTGGAAAAACTGGATATCAACCTGCCACAGATTAAAATTAGACCCTTATCTTTCGCCATGCACTAAATTAAAATCCAAATGGATTAAAGATCTAAATATTAAAACAGAAACATTAAACTTGCTGGAAGGTAAGTTAGGCAGAACTCTGGAAGACATTGGTATAGGAAAAGACTTTATGAACAAATCCTCAGTAGCACGGGAACTAGCAGAAAGAATCAACAACTGGGATCTCATCTTACTAAAAAGCTTCTGTACTTCAAAAGAAACCATTAGCAGAACTAAGAGACAATCTACAATGTGGGAAAAAATTTTTACCAGCTGTACCTCAGACAAAGGACTATTATCAAGGATATATAAAGAACTCAAAACAATCAGTCCCCCCAAATATAAAGACCCGATCCAAAAATGGGCATCCGAAATGAACAGACATTTCTCATACAAAGAAGTAAAAGCAGCAAGAAAATATATGAAAAAATGTTCCACATCACTGGTCATTCGAGAGATGCAGATGAAAACAACACTGAGATTCCACCTCACCCCACAAAGAATGGCTGCTATCAAGAAATCACACAATAACAAATGTTGGCGGGGTTGTGGGGAGAAAGGAACCCTCCTCCATTGTTGGTGGGAGTGCAGACTAGTGCAACCACTATGGAAATCAATATGGAGATACCTCAAAGAGCTTGGACTGGAGGTGCCATTTGACCCAGCCATCCCTCTGTTGGGTATCTTTCCAAGAGAACTAAAAGAATCATATCACAGAGAAGTATGCGCACCCATGTTTATAGCGGCACAGTTTGTAATAGCTAAATCTTGGAAACAACCTATTTGCCCATCCGTTGGAAACTGGATAAAGAAGTTGTGGTTTTTCTATAAAATGGAATATTACTCAGCCATAAAGAGCGAGAGAATAGATTCATTCATAGGAAAATGGATACATATTGAAGATATACTCCTAAGTGAAATAAATAAGTCCCACATGTGTAAATACCAAATAGTTTCCCTGGTGTGAATATTCTGCAACAATGCATAAGATTCTAATAAGATTACTGGCATTTAGAAATGGGAGGAAAGGAGCTAAAGGTGTAGGGAAGGTGTGATACGTAGGGGAAGAACAAAAAGGGAAAAGAAAAAAATGTGAGAGAATGAAAAGATGAAAATAAAGTGTTTGTAGATGGGGAGGGGAGGAGGGGGTGAAGGGAGGGCAGAGGTAAGGGGAAAAAATGAGAATCAAGACTTGCCATGTAAAGGTACATGATCCCAACAATGAATGTAACTGTACTGTATCCCTAAATGTACCAATAAACTCAATAAAAAAAAATGAGGCTGTCTAGAGGAGACCAGATCACACAGGGTTTTACATGACATGCCATGGGTTTTGGATCTTATCCTGAAAGCAATGGGGGGGGGTGTCAGGGGAGGGAGCCAAAAAGGACTGGAAGCTGAGATGGGCTTTTAAGTCAGGACGTAGTGTCATGATTATATTAGTGTTTGAGATCTGACTGTGAAATGGATGAGAAGGTGACCAGTTGGGAGGCCTCCTTGGCAGTTTGGGTGCAAACAGGAAAGGGTCTGAGCAAAGGCAGTGGTAGCAAGCAGAGGTGAACATCTTTTTATTATAGAATGAGCAGCAAAGAGATCTTGACAAAAGAGAGTGAAATTAATCACCACCCCCATGCAACGGACTAGAAAACAGCCTTGTCAGAGCAGCTGGTGAAAAATACCCCAGGGTGAGCTGAGAGCAAGTCTAGTAAGTGTCAGTTTTGTGATATGGCCGCCAAGAAAGCAAATGCCACGTTGAGGAGGTCAAGCTGAAAAATGAATCAGACAGGGGATCTGTCTACCCTGGTCTGCTCTGTACAGAAGGGACTGCACCCTGGGGTGGGGCAAAGAGAAGGGCAGACTCAGTCCTCAACTTCTACTTTGAACAGATATACAGGAATTGGCTTCAGTTCGGGGGGGGGGCTTGAATTTATGTCCCTGGAGCAACACAGCCCGAAGGAACAGTGAGTCAGAACTGTCTTCAAATTGTTGGACCACCATGGAGGAGGATGGACAAGGGTGGGTTTGCTTGATCTCAAAGGAGCAGAAGTTACTAGGGTTCAGTGTCACTCAACCTCAAGCCAGGAGGCCAGGGGCTCATGCAGCGTCCTGCAGAGCCAATGAGCACCTGGTCCTGGAAGCTGTCCATGAGAAAACCGTCCTAGGAGGGCAGGGCTCCTGTACATGGGACAAACAACCACAACAAAACAAAAACTAACGAACTACGACGACCAACACCAGCGCGTGGGTGAAGTCAATCGATGATCTTTGATGTTCTTGCTGACCTTGTTATGCGGAGGACCTGGCTGAGTGGGTGGCCATTTCTCAGTAGTGTTGCCTCAGAGATGAGGTGGACAATAGTACCTCTCTCATTCTCTTTTTAAATGCACTTTTTCTCCACAAACGTGGTGGGGTCGGCACACCAGGTACGTTGCAGCCTCTAGATCAGTGTAATTTTGTGGGTGCGGAGAGGGGCTAGCCTGTGTAGAGCCTCGGAGTTGTCAGGAGCAACCGCGCAACCCGTTAAACTTTGGCTCTGGGCTTTGCAGCGCAAGAGGGGCGGGGTTTCTTGAATGGTTCCCCAGGAGAAAGCGATTGGCCCTGGGGAAATCGAAGGGGCGGGACTAGTCCATTGTTGCCATTGGTCCTGCGGGCAAGTCCAGAGATGGCAGCGAGGTGGGTGGAGCCCGCGAGGGGAGGCAATCGGTTTGGCCAGGGCCCACGGAGGGA